AAAAACAAGTTTACATCATATTCTTATGCATGCCAGTGCTGTGTGTGAGGTAACTTAAGGTGGTTCTGACAAGTGTCATCGGCATCTTCATATCCAGTCACATGGGCGGCAAGCCACTCCCATTCAGTCACATGGGCGGCAAGCCACTTCCACAAAGGAAGCCACACCCACAGAGTAGGTTCGAACAATTTTTGAAACCCACCACTGTAGTTAGTGTACAAGTATGTAAAAGAATGCACTTTGATGTTAACAGAAGAAAAAGAAAAAAGTTAAGAGTACATTTGATGTAACATGAAGGAAGTTGCTGTGAACAAAGATAAGGGCTGCTTTCTCCCTAATAGACATGCTGATTAGCTGAACCTGAGATCGCCAGGTGGGCTGGGTCACTGCTGTTCTGCTAGGCTGCTGGGTTACTGGGTAGGGTCTTTGGTTTGCTGCTCATTTGCCACTGCTCATCTGGGCTCCTGGGTGAGCTCTTGGGCTGCTGGGCTGGATAGCTGGTTCACTGCCACTCAGTGCCATCTCTCATCTGGGCTCCTAGGCTACTTGCCTGGGTTCTCTGGATTCCTGGGCTACTGGGCTGGGTTGATAATTCACCTCCACTCAGCTGGGATCATGGGCTGCCTGGTTGGGTCACTAGTTCACCTCTGCTCATCTGGCCTCCAACTGCCATGAATCTCCAGGCTCCTGGGCTGCCATGCTGGGTTGATGAATTGCTGGGTAGTCTCTCAGGTGGGCTACTGTCAGTCTCTTCTCAGCATGCATTACTTTGGCTTCCTTGCAGTTATTACTTGAATTTCTAACTACAACGAAAAGGATCCATTTTAGCCATCTCAAGATATTTTGTGAAAGTTCAACTTGAATTTATATGGTTAAAAGAAAATCCCACTATTTTCATTGGAACTTCTGGCCAAATACTAGTTACCCTATAGTAAATTTGCATATATAGCCACAGCCGGACGGCTGTGAAGACCTGGCTGTCCCAGCAAGCCTGGGGTTGAATCTCCCCCCCACTCGAATTTGCTGTGTCTGTTGTGCTTTTAAACTGTTTGTATTGTCTGATTGTCTTT